TGTGTCGCTCAGACTGTCCTCAAACTTACTGCAATACCCCTCCCTGCCTCAGTTTGGGGATGAGTGGCCCATGCCACTGTGCCAAGCTTGAGCCTTTTTCCTCAGGGGACACACCCACTCTCCCAAGTTCTTCCACAAGAAGTTATCAACTGTTGGGCTGGTGTCTTCTCTTTGTTCTGAAATAGGGTCTCTATGGAGCACTAGCTGGTCTGGAACTTGCTATGTAGACCAGGCTAGCCTTGAACTCACGGAGATCCTCCTGGATGCTCAGATTAAAGGTGTGCGTTAGTACTGGGGCTCTGACTGGTGTCTCTGATTTTCCGTGGAAACCTTTGTTCTGGAAAGTATTCCTGTCCCTGGATTAGGAATTCTGGAGTTGAAGGTGGGGCTACCTGTTCATTCGGCGTGGCGAGATGCTATGCTGTTGAACCATCAGCCCTGGCTTTGCTGAGTCTGCAGATACAGAGGATGGCGTCTCTGTGAAGGAAAAGGTAGCAGCAGAGGGTGGTTGGGTCTTCAGCTGTGCACTAAATGTGGGTTATATAAACCGGCTGATGGAGACTCAAGGTTCCTTGTCTTTAAAAGCAAGGTGTTCTGTAAGTACCCACTTTTAGGGGTGCCAGGGTAGTTACAGTGACGCTGTTAGTCTAAACTCTTAAAGTTCAGTGAAATCTTGGTCCTAAGGGAAGTCAGGTTGTGTTGTGACAGCTGTCCCTCCACCCGCAGTGCTCACACAGCTTAGCCTGGGGCTCACTGTGTCCCCTCTGCTGGAACCCCTGACATTGACAATACGGAGGCAGGACATCCCAGTGGACATAGTCTGACTCTGCCATCACAGACTACTCTGAGTGCCGTGGCTTACGAGGTCACAGGCTCCCAAATCTAGAATGTTCTCTACCTGGAAATGGATGCTCACCATCTCTCCTAAGGAAGGTCCTGTGATAGCTGATATTGATCGTCAGTTTGGTGGTCTCTGCAGTCACCTAGAAGACGGCTGTGGAGCACACCTGCGAGGCGGTTTCTAGACTGGGTGGGAATTGAGGCGGGAGGACCCACTCGACTGTGCGTGGCGCCGTTCCAGAGTCAGGATCCTGGAGTGAATCAAAAGGAGACAGTGAGCTGAGCACCAGCATTCATCTCCCTCTGCTTCCTGACTGTGGGTGCAGTGTGACCAAGAGCCTCACTCACGGCCACCACACCTCACTCACGGCCACCACGCCTCACTCACAGCCACCACGCCTCACGGCCACCACGCCTCACTCACGGCCACCACGCCTCACTCACGGCCACCACGCCTCACTCACGGCCACCACACCTCACTCACGGCCACCACGCCTCACTTACGGCCACCACGCCTCACTTACGGCCACCACGCCTCACGGCCACCATGCCTCACGGCCACCACGCCTCACTCATGGCCACCACGCCTCACTCATGGCCACCACGCCTCACGGCCACCACGCCTCACTCATGGCCACCACGCCTCACGGCCACCACGCCTCACTTACGGCCACCATGCCTCACGGCCACCACGCCTCACGGCCACCACGCCTCACTCACGGCCACCATGCCTCACTCACGGCCACCACGCCTCACTCATGGCCACCACGCCTCACGGCCACCACGCCTCACTTACGGCCACCATGCCTCACTCACGGCCACCACGCCTCACTCACGGCCACCACGCCTCACTCACGGCCACCACGCCTCACTCACGGCCACCACGCCTCACTCACGGCCACCACGCCTCACTCACGGCCACCATGCCTCACTCATGGCCAAGCCTTCCCAGCCACGACAGACCAACACCCTCAAGTAGTGAGACCAAGCAGACCCTTGCTTCCTTGACACAGCAGTGAGGAGAGTGACTGGTACAATCTTAAAGTGATATTCAAGACTCTCCCCCACTCCCCCCCATGAAATCCAGAATTCTGTGTCATCGGTGTCCCAGAGTGTGTCCATATGCCTTCAGCAGGCCATCCATGCTCTGGTACAAGGCAAGACATCCTCCTTGGAAGGACCTTTGTGCACCCGCTAATCATCTTGGCGCCTGAAACCCTGCCTGGGAATGAAGAAATGACAAGACACGTGGACAGGAAAGCTGGGGCCAGGCAGGTTGTACTCTCTGACGGAGCTGCAGCCCAGAATGCTGTGAGTTTATTATGCACAGCTGGGGGGGGCCGGGAGGGACTTGTTGATTGGCAGTAGGTGTCATTAAGCAGGAGCCTCAGGCTACAAACTTCCTGGAGAAGGAAAAAGCTTCAGTCACTGAATTTTTTGCACTCATTGGTCGATAGTAAACGTTCATACTTGCACACACTGTTAACATCTTCACTTGGACCAGAGGAAGATGAAGAAGGAAGTCAACTGGGGTCAAGTATGGTTTATTAATCTGCAAGTCAGCACCAGTGTGTCACACTCACAGGACAGAACGAAGCTGCCACACCACTGATACACTGCCACCATTCCCACCACCGACGCCACAGTCCAAAAGAGATGAGCACCAAGCCACCGGCCACATGGGCTCCTGCGGCTTGGTGTCAGCCTGACCACACCCCAGAGAGAGAGAGAGAGAGAGAGAGAGAGAGGTTTGCCCCACCCTGGCCTTTTACTTAGTTACTTAGGTACCCTCCAGTTAAAAACTGCCCCCTTTGGGCCAAGCCACTCCTTAAGGTTGACTGTCGGACGGATGACAGGACTCTTGCAACTGGAAGGCTTTGCCAACTCCAAGCCTGACCCATATGGGTAAAGCTTTGCCGGCATCCGTGGCTCTGATGTCTTCGTCTCTGACAGAGCTGTCTCCTGTCAAACAGTACACGCTCACCCAGAACCTCACTCCCTCAGGGCGTCCTTGGCTCCTCACACCTTTGTCAAGCCCCTCAATCAGCTCACTTCTCTGCAGTCAGCTCCTCCCCTTCTAGCTAGCCCTCATTCTACCTGGACTCCAACCCCAAATATGACCACGTTTTGCTTCCTGCGTAAAGGAGCCAGCTGGCCCCTCACTGCTCCCTGGAGTCTAAGTCTGGAATCACCTCACAGCCTGCCTCGGTGCCCCGAGGACCCACCAGCCACGTCCGAGTTCGCTGGTCCCGTGAGAAATGTCTCTGCCTTTCTGTTTCCGTGCTGGCTCTCGTTCTTCCTGTGACACCAATGTGCCCCTCCCCGAGCCCTCTCCGTGGCCCAAGGGGACATTCTACATTCTCCCCTGGCTGCTCAGTTGTCACCTCCTCTGCCTAAGCTCTGCCAGGGCCACGAGATCCCGTGATAACTTCCATGCTTTGACCATGGTTTTGATTGCATCATGCTGAATTTACTTTTAGCTTGCCATATCCCTGAGAACTGAGGTGACACCCTCTGTTACATTTCAGTTTCCAGTGCCAGCCATCTGACCGCGTCCTGAATCTCATGTTTGATAACTGTTGCTGGCCGGCTTTGTGGACGATTGACACAAGCCAGGGTCATCCGGGTAGAGGGAACAGCAGTTGAGGAATTGCCTCCAGACGGCCCTGTGGTCAGTTCTGTGGGGCATATTTCCATGATGGATGTAGGAGGGTCCAGCTCACGGTAAATAATGCCACCCCTGGACAGGTGGTCCTGGGCTCTGTAAGAGAGCAGGCTGAGCAAGCCACAAGGGGCAAGCCAGTGAGCAGCTCCCCTCCATGGCCTCCGATTCAGTCCTTGCCTCCAGGTGCCGGTCCTGACTTCCCTTCACGACGGACTTCCAGCTGTAAGATGAAATAAACCCCCCAAGTTGCTTTTGGATACGGCGTCTTTAATCCCAGCGAGTGAAAGCACATGAAGATGCTAACAAGGAAGGAAAGGGTGGGCAGAGCCTTTCTCCGTCACCTCCCTTCTCTCCGGTGCTACCTGGGCTAAGAGTGGCCCACCTTCCTCCTGCTTCTGCCTGACAGAAGCCTCGGCATGGCCCTTTCAGGCAGCCGTAATAACAGACTGTGGGCCTGGGGGTGGGTGTAATGAGCAGAAATGCCCCCTCCCCCCACTGGGAGGTCTGAGGACAGAGAACCAACGCGGGCTTGTGGCGGCGGAGGACACTCGGGCCACACATCGCAAGTCAAGTCCAGAATCCCACGAAGGAAGCGCCCCGAAAGCTGTGGATGCCGACTGTACTCATGAGGGCTCTCTACTTAACAGTGAAGTCACACTTCTAAGACCCCCCCCCAGGCAAGGTGTGATGGCATGGGCCTGCAGTACCAGCTGAGGTAGAAACATCACTTGGAGCCTTAGAGGTCCAGGGTCAGGCTGGGCGGCGACATAACGGAACCCGTTTCTGAGGAAGCGAGGTCCCGTCCTCTGACTCACAGGTGGTTAGACTAAAACACATGAGTCTTAGTGGGTGGAGGCACCCGTGTTGGTCACCCTAAAATCCTCACGCTTGTCAGTGGGGTCTGAGAGGAGTGTGGGGAATCTGTAAGCCCACTGCCATGGTTCAGATCCCGGCAGGTCTTTCTGAGAACTTTTGGCGTAAATGTGTTGGTTTCATCGTATCAGATAGGAGATGGTTAGGCGTTTACCTCTTGGGAAGGTTGAGAGATTCTGGGGTTAAGTCACTTCCAGGAAGACCTGGCCCTAGGTGTGCACAGAGGGTACGCCTTCTGCTGCTGGTTTGCGAGTCTGCTTTTAACGTCTCTCTCTGCCCCAGAATCTGTCTCGCCGTAACACCACCTGGCTTCGTAGCTGTCCCCAAGTCTGTACCTCTTGAAAGTTACCAAGTTGTTGTAAGATATTCTAATGTCCTAGTATTGCTTCTGGAGGTTTTGTTCCATGTTTGCTACCCTCTGTCCAAATATAATATGAGCCACAAAACAGGTGCCCATGCTGGCTAGTTTTTCGGCAAGTTGACACAAGCCAGAATCACCTTCAATGGAGAAAATGCCTCCCCGTAAGGTGGGGCCATAGGCAAGCCTGTAGGCATTTTCTTAATTAGCGATTGATGGGGGAGGGCCCAGCCAATTGTGGGTGGTGCCATCCCTGAGCTGGTTGTCCTGTGTGCTATACGAAAGCAGCTTGAGCGAGTCAGTTAGCGGTACCCTCCTCGGCCTCCGCATCAGCTCCTGCCTCTGAGTTCCTACCCTAGCTGCTTCTGGCGGTGAGTTATTAAATGGAACTGTGAGAGGAAGAGACCCTCTCCATCCCCACTTGCCCTTGGTCATGGTGTTTCATCAGTGATGGCAGCCCCAACTAGGGCAGAAACTAGTGTCGGAAAAGTGGGGTACCGCTGGGACAGACCTGACCATGCTGCTCTTTGGGGGACTGCTGTGGAAGGACTTTGGAACATGAGTCTGGAGAAGTCAGTTCAGTGACCTGGCTGTTCTGTGTGAGCTTGGACAGTAAGGTGTTGAGAGGAATCCAGAAGACGGGGAGGCCTGGCTTATGGAGCTCCAGAGGAGAGTTTGAGAGTCACTTAAAGGCTCTCTCAGGGCTGTTTTCTGTTTTGAGTTAAGATTCTGTGGTTTTGATCAGCTGGGGCTGAGAATGAGCTATGATTGCCCGGAGACTGACACCACTAAAAAAAAAAAAAAAAAACCCTTGTTTAGTGGTGCGAATGGTGCTGGTGGGCTGGAGCTGAGAAACTAGTGGTGACTGAGACCAGCATCACTGAGATGGAATCTTCTGGGCGGTGTTTCCCGAGAGTCAGGACACACAAAGATGTGTGGCAGAGGCAGCCAAGGTTGCACGTCACGCTGGCAGCTGAACTTGGTAGTGTAAGAGTCACCCAGGTGGTCCTAGTTTTGAAGGCATGGAGGGGTCATGAAAAACAGCTGAAAGCTTGGCACGTGAGGGGCCAGGAGGGGCCGTTGAAGGTGCAGCTTCAGTAGCAGCTAAAAACCCAGGACTGGAGAGGCCATGGCTTGGCACCATGAAGATAGCCCAAGAGAGGCCATTGGTGAAAGTGCAGCCCAGTGGCCGCTGAGATCCCAGCATTTTGGAAATGCCAGCACCATTGGAGACCACTGAGAACAGCAGGAGTGGAGGAGACTCACCCTAACCCTGGGAGACAAACTTTGTGCTACAAGGGGCAGACCCAGCGAAGTGAGTGACTCAGGCCCTTTGGAGGAGCCCAGAAAACTGTGAGTGAATCCCAGATACGGGACGTTATGTTATATATTTACACTATTGGAGTTTGGTTTTGCTTTGATCTGATTGTGCCTGTGCCCTGGCTCTCCCCTGGATTAAGAAAGCATCCACAGCTGAGAGACGTTATATTTTAAAAGACTTTTGATTTTGAAAGATACTGATTTTTTAGGTTGTTTGCGTTTTCCCAAAAAGGCAGCAGTGGGACTTTTAAGTCTATACAATGTTTTCTATCGTGATGTCTTTATCAATGTGTAAGCTTGGGGATAAACAGGAAAGGTAAGGTTGTGGCTTAACAGTGACAAGTTTGTATGTCAAGTTGACAGTAGGTCAGTTTATGTCAAGTTGACACAAGCTGGAGTCTTTCTCAGGGGAGAAAATGCCTCCATGAGATTGGTGTGCAGGCAAGCCTGTAGAGTATTTTCTTAAGTAGTGATTGGTGGGGGAGGACCCAGCCCATTGTGGATGGAGTCACCACTGGTTGAGCAAGCCAGGAAGCAGCTCTCCTCCATGACACCTGCCTCCAGGTTCCTGTCCTGCTTGAGTTTCCTGCTCTCACTGCTTTTGATGACAAACTGTTGTATTGAACTGAGAGTGAAATAGACCCTTCCCCCAATCATCACTGACCATTAGCCTGTATGACCCAACAGAAAAAGGACAGCACATCATGATCACTGTTCTCCAAATAGCACGTTACTTCTTTTCATCCAGGGGCGTTTTGAAGTTGGCTCCCATTCTCCGTATATAGTTCACTTAATTCCCTTTTTAAACTTGAGGAAATGACAAGTCATGGAGCAGCTCAAACAGACAGTGGAGTCTGACCAATCAGGGAGACTTAAGACCTTCCCAGAATCACCTCCTGCTTGTGGCTTCTTTGAAGCTGATACACAGAGGCAGTCCAGGGTGTCTGTCAGTGAGAGTGATAAGGTTATACAAGATATATATGTGTGTGTGTGTGTGTGTGTGTATATATATATATATATATATATATATATATAGAGAGAGAGAGAGAGAGAGAGAGAGAGAGAGAGAAAATCAGCATCAACCCTTTGTAAATACGGTGTGTTTATCAGGTGTGTTTATCAGTTACGTGATCCTGGGTATGTGTCCACACATTGGATGGCTCAACTGTCTGAAGTTGAGAGAAGGGACACACGCTATTGTCTGCTGAATGAATGAACGGCGTTGAGATTGATGGGTGGCACAGGAAGTGTCTGTGCATTGTGTCTTGAAGGTCAAACCCTGGGGCCTGTAGGTGAGTTTACATTCGTGGTAGTAATATGTTCTCACCTGAGACCTTCTGACCTTACGCTCCCTGTAACCCTTGCTGTAGCTCAACTCTGCTGTCTACCATACAGCCAAGGCGTTGGCGAGACTCCTCTGCAGCCTTCTCTCTAACCCTTGACGGCATGCCCACCATGGGAAGACTGACTCCCAAGGGTGGCTGAAATTGGACTCTGCTCCCTGTTAAGAGGGTCTATTCAGTGCCACCTCCCATTGTCCCAGATCAGGACTGTCTTGGTAGAACACCGTTTCCCTGACTTCCTGTGCTCCTGTGGCCTGAGGTGATTTGATATATGTGACTGCTGTCCTACATTCAGTGTCTAGAATGTCATCCTGGAGAGTTGTGTACCATTTCCACATGTTCTAGAGGTTCTGGGAGTCAGGTGAAGCTGTAAGGTTTGTTCAGTGTGTTCAATACACCGTAACCAGTGGTTATACCCACAGGGCTCTTCTAGCCAACAGGGGGAACTGTCTTATCAGATACTGAGCCTCAACTTCCTGTTTAAGCAGTGTGGGTGTGTATGTGTATGTATGTGTGTATGTCTATATGTGGGTGTATGTATGTGTGTATGTGTGTATGTGTGTATGTGTGTATGTATGTGTGTATGTATGTGTGTATGTATGTGTGTGTATGTATGCGTGTGTGTGTGTGTGTATATATGTATGTATGTATGTATGTGTATGTGTGTGTCTGTGTGTGCACACAGGAAAACTGTGGTAAGTGGAGGACAGAGAATGACTTCCAGAAGTTAATTCCTGCCTTTCCTCCTGTGGGTGGGTCCCAGATATTGAACTCAGACCATCAGGCTTCCTGGCAAGTACTTTCTTTACCTGGTGAGTCATTTTACTGGTAGCCACTAACTTCCTATTGAAACCCATAAAACCCACAGAGTTATGGCATATCTGAAAACATAGCACAAAATATGCCACAATTGTGTGTAACTAGTAACCACGACTGAAGCTAACCAGGTCTACTGACTATTGGCTGATGGCTAGCCACTGCCTAATTGTGACAAGATGGGTCTTGCTTCTCTTCTCCTCTGGTTCCTTGATTTCCAGAGGTCAAGCCAGCGGGTCAGAGGGGGACAGGAGGTGGAAAGGAGAAGCTCACGTTGGAATGGATGGAATCGGAATAGAGTCCTTGCTGAGATGGGGTACGGCCTGTCTTTCATACGGGTGCAGTACACGTTCTAGAATTTAGGACAAACCATGGAGAGAGCCAACGTTTTCTCTAGTTCTGCCCTTTAAGCTGTCCCCAAGCTAATCTGTTCTGGAAGGAGACTGTTTCAGGGATCACCCAATGTGCAGTTGGAAAGCCCTTGATGTTTTTATTTTACTTATGTTTTTCTGGCATATACGTCTACTGCTTATGTGTCTGGTATAGGCGGAGGCCGGAGGGAGGGCATCGGATCCCCTGGAACTGGAACTACAGGTGTGTGTTAGCCTCAGTGATGGTGCTGGTTATCGATCCCAAATCCTCTAGAAGAGCAGCCAGTGCTCTCAACAGCTCGACCGTCTTTCCACCCCTAGAGCTCTGCAACAACAGTGTTCTTTGTTTTAGCAGTGACGTTAGTTACGCGTGACCATGGCAGTCTGCTTTCGTAGTAATACATGATACACACTGTTCACTCTGTAGTTATCGCGTGTTTCAAAGCAGGAAGTAGACATAACAGGATTCTGACGAGCCATGGAGCACTCACACCCAAGATGCGATGCTCCTGACTAGGGAGCTTTCCACTTCTGACTCCCCTTGTAGATTTTATCGTCCGCCCTTGATTTGCACTTCTGACTCCCCTTGTAGATTTTCTTTATCGTCCGCCCTTGAGCTCCCCATCGTAGCTCCCACCTACTATGTTAGCACTCTCCTTTCCTTTGGACTCATTACCAGGTACACCTTCATGATACTTAAATCTTTTATTCCTAGATCTGGCTTTTGTGCAGCCTAGACACCCAGACTGACATGGTTCCCCCTCTGAAGGTCTCTAAAGCAAGCTAAGCCAACCTCCTGCTCTTTGCCCGTCTGTCTCCCTACTCTAGGGTTGTATTCTGTCTAGTGTACAGCTTCACTGTTTTCCCTTCTAGCCAGTGAGGAAAAAAAATCCAAGAAACATTCTGGATTCTCCCCATGTCTTGTTTCACTCGGTTGAGCCAAGCATCGTGTGGCTACCCTGTTTGGAGCACCCCGTAGGATCATCCTTCTCCTTCCGCTGCTGGAGTCCACTAACCCAGAGGCTGACTCCTCTCCCATCTCGCTCGGGCTTCGTGGATTTCATAAATACTAAATAACTGTTGAAGCCAATGAAGACATAGGCATGGAAGTAGAGGGTATTAAAAACATCCTCAATGCCTGTTTGATTTGATCACGAACCCCCCCTCAATCCCACACTTCTCCAGCTGGGCTTTCAGAGCTAACCCGTGCTTTCTTGGAGGCCCATCGGGATAGGTCACTCTCTGTGCGGTTTTCTGACGTGAGCGTTGCTCTCCACCCATCGCGTTAGCTCTCCAGCCTGACTTTGTCCCTCTCCACCTTGTATGCTGCCGTCTGGTTCCTTATGTCAGACACCGAAGTGAGTGTTGTTCAGGAGAAGGCCATGGCTGTCTCACACTGGCCTCGTCTTCAGTAAAACTGCTCACGCAATACAACTTTGCAGAATTAAAATCTCACCCTTGAAAATCTCTGGTGTGGACAGAAGTTTCATACACAATTATCTACAGCATTGAAGGTAATATGAACCTATGGTGTTCATTCATTAGCAATCCCATGACCCCCCATAGAAATACAAATGACTTTGTGCCGGCTCATTTCTAGGATAATGCTAGCTATGTTTAACACATTAAAACTTTTTTTTTTTTTTTTTGGTTTTTATGAGACAGGGTTTCTCTGTATTGTTTTGGAGGCTGTCGGTCCAGCCTGGCCTCGAACTCAGAGATCCGCCTGCCTCTGCCTCCCAAGTGCTGGGATTAAAGGTGTGCGCCACCACCACCCGGCAACACATTAAAACTTTTATTTCCTTTTAAAATATTACTGAGCTAACAATGCAACTTTTGGAATCTGTAAAAGATTAGGAAACAAAGAAATCATGTTGTGTTTTCTACTGGGAAGTAGAAAACTGTTGTGTTTTCCTCTGGGAAGTGGGCTTCTGTAAGATCAGATCCCACAGCTGTTGAAGAAAGGAGCTGGGTCTCATCAATTTGAGTGCATGGTCATCGGGGAGTGTCACTACCCACCAGAGACTAGGAGATGTGGCCTCGCGGGAGGGGGTGTGGCCTCGCGGGAGGGGGTGTGGCCTCGCGGGAGGGGGGGTGGCCTCGCGGGAGGGGGTGTGGCCTCGCGGGAGGGGGTGTGGCCTCGCGGGAGGGGTGTGGCCTCGCGGGAGGGGTGTGGCCTCGCGGGAGGGGGTGTGTTGACAGAGGTGGACTCTGGGGCTTCAAATGCTCAAGCCAGGCCCACTGTCTCTGTCTTTCTGCAGCACGTGGATCCAGATGTAGAACTCTTGGCTCCTTTTCCAACGCCATGTTTGCCTGTCTTGCTACCACACCTCCCACCATGCGGATAATGGACTAGACCTCTGAAACTGTTGGCCAGTCCCGATTAAAAGCTTTCCTTTAACATAGCTACCATGGTCATGGCGTCTCTTCACAGCAATAGAACTCTGACTAAGACCGTTATCTAGGCTGGAGTTTGAAACAACATCAGGTTAAAGCCTGATATAATCTCTTTAAACAACAACAAAATACGAAAGAGAAAGCCCCTGTATTTCCACACTCTGTGCGTGAAAGCCCATCTCCTTGTATCTTCGGGGCTCTGAGGCCGTCAGGCTGGTTTGTCTTAGCCCCTGTGGTTGCCGAGGTAGTCAGGAACTGGACGTGGTGTGAGACTCTCTGCTGCCACAGCTGGCCCGTCCCACTGGAGTTAGTCGAGTTGCATGCTGGGAGGTGAGTGTTGTCACTGTGTCAGCTTCTTTCCGGTGGCTGTGATGCCTGCATTGTCAGAGCCACTTAGAGGAGGGAGTCTTCATTGCCGCTTGTCATGCCAGCTTCTCAGCCGTCACGGCGGGGAAGTCACAGCGGCTGGTGCTTGGGGAAGTGGGTCACGCCACATCCTTAGCCAGGGACGGAGGGCGATGATGGCATGCTTGCTTTCCCCTCCCCCAGCCCGGGGAATGGCCCCACCCACAGCAGATCTCCCCATCTCCGTTAATGTAACCAAGGAACCCCTCCTTGGGCATGCCCTGCCCACCTGATCTAGACACTCCTTCACCGAGACTCTATCCTTAGGCCATCCGGATTGGCAGTTAAAACTAAGCATCCATCATTGTTCGTGGACGTGATGATTTGGAGCTTTGTGAATTTAGCTCAGCTGAGACAACACCTTCCAGAATTCCCTTGTTTGTACGGTTGTATATGTTATGCTTACTGAAGATTTTTTTTCATGGAGTTTGGATAATGGACGGCATGAAGCCGTGGCCCCTTGGCGGGAGGCAGGTGTGAGAATGGCTTACCCTGGCCTCTTGGCTCACAGGCTGGCTCTCCAGCCCTCCGTGGACCACCTCCTTGTTCTCTCTCTAGTCCTGGGCTGGAAGCAGATGCAGTTCCACAGGGAGGGTGCTAGCTCCATCTTCACATCAGCTACTCTGCAGTTTACCTTCCTGGTCAGCAGCTTGTCCCGAATCTCCTCTGCTGCAGACCCCGGCTTTCTGGCCAGCCTCACTGATGGACAATAGCTTCAGAACCCCCTCCCCCACCAGCCTGCTCTTCAGTTTGTCAGTCTCCTCATACGAGGTACGATCCTCATACGAGGTAGGATGTCCAACCTGTACAGTAAATCTCTCAGGCCATGCTACCCGTAGTTATATTTTGAGTCGCTGGTAAAACAGTAATCGACATTCATACATTATATATCCAGGCCTTATTTTACAGTGTTAACAGTCAAAGAATGTTATTGAATACAACGAGATCACAAACATCTGACTCGTTTTGAAAGAAATGAAGAGAAAGATGTTAACATATAAAAAGGAGGCTATGATTGTCCAAAATGAAGATTAAAAAAAAATAACACACAGCCAGAGGCAGGCGTTAGAGCAGACAGCAGCTTCAGTAGCTTGTCTCTGTTGCAAACAAGTTCAATGAGAAAGCCTCGATGAAGGCACTGTACCGGAGAAATCCTGTCTTGAGGCCTCTAAGCCGGATTTGCCTGAAGCTCCAGTGAGACAGAACACACTAGGTGCAGCCAGGTACACTCTTAATTCCAGCCCTCCTGCGCGGGAGCTGCTGCTGTATCTGAGTTTGAAGCTGCTTGGTCTACACAGTGCGTTTCAGGCCAGCGAGGGCTACAGAACACACTAGGTGCAGCCAGGCACACTCTTAATTCCAGCCCTCCTGAAGCGGGAGCTGCTGCTGTATCTGAGTTTGAAGCTGGTCTACACAGTGCGTTTCAGGCCAGCGAGGGCTACAGAGTGAACCTCCCTGCCCCTCACACAAAACATAAAAACCAACAGCAAAAGTCAAACACAAACCACCAGAGGATTTCAGTGAAGCCTACTCTGGTCAGGGTTGTCCGTCTGCCACAAGACTCCTATGCTGTGGCCTCTCCAGTGGTTGGGAGGGGGGCTGTAGGAGGGAGACACCGTCATGTAGCTTCTAGCCTAGCGTTATTTTCTGGACACAAGCCCTCCGAGACTTCCTCAAAACATACAGCTGACCAGACAGAGGCTGTGGCCTGGGACTTGGCCAGACGTCCCTCTGCATGCACAGTCCTCCTGTGGGTACTGCTCACTCTCATTGGAAGAGGAACTCACTTCCCATCCCCCCCCCCACACACACACCCAGACACCCAATCAATGCAAGTCTGGCCATGCTGCTTCCAGGGACTGGAAAATACCCACAGCAAAGAAATCTATTCATGGATTACACGCGGTTCAAGCAACCCGAGTGGACTTCAGCTGGCAGAGGGCTGAGTTTTGTTCTGGGGTGGCGGTCCTCAACCTTCCTAAGGCTGCGGCCGGCCCTTTAATACAGGTCCTCATGTTGTGGTGATCCCAACCGTAAAATCATTTTAATTGCTACTTCATAACTGGCATTTTGCTGCTGTTATGAATTGTGATATAAATGTCTGGTATGGGGGGTGGTCTTAGGAGACCCCCGTGGAAAGGTCAATTGACTCCCAACAGGGTCACAACCCACAGTTTGAGAACCACTGATCTGAGGAGTCCTGTGCTTGGGGGACAACAAATATTAAGAGCCAGAGATTCCAAGATGGCCAAAGGGTCTGGGTCCACAGAGTGCTTCCAGGAGTCTAGCAGTAGTATGTGTGAGAGGGTCTGGCCAGATCCCAATGAACCCTGGGCTAACCAGGTCATCTGGGACCGTACACTGTGAGTTTTCCTGTGTGTTTCAGTCTTGCTGTGCAAAATGTCAATGATGCTTCTCCATACCCAGAGACGTGGCAAGAAATGAATAAGGCACATGCCAGATGCAAATTCAATTTATTAATATTAACTAAATAAGTTATGCAGCCCCTGACAGTAACTTAAAATCAGCTCTTTAAAAGACAAGATAGGCATTCTCTCTTGCTAGAGGAAAGAGAATCCATTGGGTGATGTGAGTATTGTCACAGTCACGTCACAAACCCCTCAAGCCTGTGGGAACACTCCACGGAGGTATGAGCTGTTGGCAGAGCTCTGTTTCCACATGCACGCACTCGGTTTTGTTTGATTTTAGCACGGTGTCGTCTTCTATGGGGGAGTCGCATCAATTCTTATTTCAAAGGCAGCGGCAGAGGTGTGAGCAGAGGGCCTAGGGTAGCCTCCAGCATTATCTGAAATTGGCTGTCAAATTTCAAAAACAGACAGTGTAGCCTGGCTTACACAGCCTCCCCACCCCAGCTCAAGGCAGAAGCCGCATTGACGCGCGCCTGGCTTCGCCAGCTCTTCACCTGGCTCCCACAGCCGTCTGTGTCTGGGTCGAGGACGCCGGCTCCCTCCAGGGCTGACTGCATTGCATCTGACACTAGTTTTTTGGAAGGGGTCTCCGGGATAGAACCTTTAAAAGCGGCTGTCAGTCAACGTGCCATCTTCCGGTTAGTGTCCCGCACAGCGTGGCCGTCTGCATGTTTAAGCGTTCTGAGTTGCATCGTCAGTCCTAAGCGCTATTTACCTACTCAAGCTACTGGGTCCCTGGAGATGAGCCCCTGCTGCTGCTGCTTTCCCAAGGTCAGCCCGCATCCTGGGAGGTGAGATCCCCTCTTTAGTCTTCGCCAACTCCGAGGCCTGCTCACCTGCAGTCTCAGGGTCACACCACATTTACAGTTTGTAATTAAATGACAGCCAGAAGCCTGAGCTGGAGATACGGGGCGCCACACAGTATCAGCACTGATTCAAGTGAATTAGCTTCCTGAAATCATCAACAGCCTACCAAAAATTGCCATCTTTATCCACAGGGAAAAAGAAAGTGGCAGGTGGAGGAAAATAAGCCCCTTTGTAACTTAACTTTCTAAGGGGTAGAAAATGCCATCCTTGCATGCACAGGACTGGTCAATATTATCTCTAGACAATGCAAGAGCTCAACTCCCAAACGATTGTTTTAATTTAGAAAACATCTCTCATTAAACCCTTTAGCCTCAGAATGGGACACACAGGGGAGTAAACCCATCTGTAAATTAAAAATATTATTCAGTGGGAGCTGCGACTTTTAATCAATATGGATTTTTAATAACCTAAATATTAAAAAAACCCTCCCTAGCAAAGAAGTCAGAGGTGACTGTGTTTTTTAATATTGCTATATACATATGAGAATACTGTGTATACCCAACTCTCAACAATCCAGCTACGTTAACAAACACACACAGCAAATGTAAACTCTCACCAAACATCTAATTTCCTCTTTTTTAATATCTTTATGAATTCCATGTCCTAGAAAAGTGCCTTTTGTTTCATTTGCTTTTAAAAAATTTTTTTTCATTTTATAGTCTTTAATCTTGTAGAGGGGGAAGAAAGAAAAAAAATTTGACACAGTGAGAGTCTTATTAGGTGAAACCTCCTTTGGATATTTCGCACAGGAGAAAACGCAGTGTCGGACAGTGAGCTGGGTCAGACCTACCACACAGCAGTATCCAGCCCTTTCCTCCTGCCGATTGCCCGGTGCACTGGACTTCCTTATCAAAGACTGTCACAGCACTGATGGCCTTGCGTTTTAAAAATGGCTGCCTCAGTCTAATTTTGGTGATGCCGTTAGAAAAACGTTGGTGATTATAGTTTAAAGTTTTGTCAAAGAATTAAGGGTAACACCAGCAGATCCCTGACAAGGGTCAAAGGTCAGTGCTGCACTGAATTAGCCCACAACACCTTGGGTCACCGGCGCCAGCAGCCTCCAACATTGGGCTAAGAGAAGTCCTGTCCTGTCCAAGAGCACGTCTTGATTTTAGTCTTAGTGTGTGTGGGCTGAGTGCCGGTAAACTTAGGGCATCTCATTGGGTCCCAAGCCTAGACCTATGCAATAGATCCACTCAGGCTTCCCGCCTGCACAGTAGGTCCACAGAGATCCAGGATGTTATTTATTAGGAGGCAACAGCTAAAGCTGTCTTGAAACACCCTAAAGCTTTAACCGTTGTTGTAACAAATGTGGCCCTTGGTGGCTGAGAGTTTAAAGAATCTAGAGGCCCTGAGGAAAGGCCTGACCCAGAATGTAGTGTCGTAGCTGGTGGCCTTAACCACACAGCCATCTTCTTCACTCTCTTCCCCTAATGCCTCAAACAGTCTCCCAAAATAATATGTCCATCCAGGCTATTCTCTCCCTAGGTAAATTCCCGTCACAGAATTCAACACGGAAACAGTTTGGGGGAGGGGACCATGATCCCGCCTACACTTTGAAAAGCTGCTACTTCAACAGCCATTGGGAGCCTGCATAGCCTTGTATATTCAATATATTTCTTAGATTTACCCTCCCTCAGATGCAGGGATAGCAAACTCTCAGGTCATCCTCAAGCACCACAGATACACAAATTAACTTGCTTTTACTCCATGCTTATAAAAGGCAAAGCCACCAGAGGAAGTTTCTCAGCGTTCTGTCACCTTTGAGCGTTTCCTTTATTAATACCAGTGTATTTTAAGAGCACACGTGCTCAACGCTGTTTCCTGGCCTTTCCCTTTCGTGGTCTTAGCATTCACAGTTCCACAAAGCCTCCCTTTGGTGCGGCCCTGCACAGCGTCCAGGAGGAAGCGACCCTGCTCCAGTTATGTCTTCAGTGTGTGGGGTGTGAACTCCAAAGCACCAAGTGTGCAGAGCTCTGAGCCCGTCACGTCTCATGTCAGGAAGAAACTGTCCGGTTACACGCAAGGTTCCGAAGCTTAATGAGATTTCTTTTACAGGTCTCTTCTTTTTTAAAAATCTTTTATATTTTTTTTCTTAGTCAGAATTGGCCACCAACACGTGGCTTCATGTCTCTCTGACCTGTGTGTCACGATTTGAAGACATAAAAATCCAACCAGGCTGCAGTCGGCGATTGAGCGGGGGTGGGGGGGGGCTGGTTGTTTCCTGCTGCACAGAGAGTCTGTGCCCTGTGCTGGTTTATTTATTTATTTTAGCTCGAGTCTTCTCAAGCGTGAAAACACAGTTAGATTGTTCTGGGAGCTCAATGGCTCAGCAGCTTCTCAACAATAGCCACTGTTTGCCCCTCCATCTCCACCCCTCCCTCAGCGGCGAGTCGGGCATCTGATGAAAGGCTGGTCACGGCGTGCCCCCATGGTGTCAGTGTGGTGGCATGTGATGGTTCACATGGGGTGTGTTTGATCCGAGGAAGCCAAGCCTCTGCTTGTTTTTCCTCTGCTCTGTCATCTGGGGAAAGAGGGAAGAGAGAGAGAGTGTGCGCCTTCAGTGGCGGCTCTTTTGATCCCCCCCCACCCGCCAACGACCCACTGTCTGGTTCCACATAGAATATATTCACCACAGAAGCATTTGTTTTTAAAAAGTAAACTGCCAGAAATAGGAGTGAGAAGAAAGACCAACTCCTCTCTGCACGCTTAGGAAGCGGGGTTGTAAGAAGCACAGTCTGTTGTGTTCTCATCACCGTTGCTGGAATCATCCCGCAGCTGCCAAGGGGCCTGGTGATAGTATGTTTTAATGTCTGCTGAGGGCATCGTATAAGTGGGTTGATCAGGTCCCTAGAGTGGCCGCTTTAAAGTGAATGCCTGCCTTTCCAGCGAGCTTGGAAACCCAACGCCAGGCAGGAAATAGGATCCATCACCAAGAGCAAGTGGGTCCCTCCCTGTCTTTCCACAGAGTGAGAAATGCTTCACCAGGGAGGCTGGGGTGGGGGGAGAGCCCCTGCTTGCTGAGAAGCCACCTCACGGCGGCACAGTTGGGGAATTCCTTTCCTGGAGTCTCTGGGTCCCCTTGCTCACGGGGGTTGGCAGGTGGCTCCAGCTTCGTTTCCCCCCACCCCCACTCACCAGGCTCGATGACTCTTACTGACCTGCTCCTTCAGCTCCGCCAGCTGCCCAGAGAGCTGCCTCACCAGACCCATGGTGGACTCCAGCTTCTCCTGCAGGTTCCGGATCTCGTTTTGCTCGCTGTCACCTTCGTTGCTGACAAGCGACATGGCCCGCATCCGAGGAAACCAGTCCAAATTCCTCTCCTAAAAGAAAAGACATGCAGGAACCAGGCGGTGAGTGTGGGCGGGGAGCCAGAGGCACCTACGAGAATGTTTTCTGGTTGTTTATTATTATTGAAATCTAAATCAGTGTCTTGGGCACCTGTAATCCTAGCTCTTTGGGAGCTGAGGCCAGTATGGGCTATGCAGTGAATTTCAGGCCAGCCTGGACTACAAAGCAGGACTGTCTCAAATAAACGAACCCCAAAGCTCAATGTCTCTGAGCATATACACCAAAAGGATCCTTCTCTGGCCAGGGGCAGGAAGAGGCAGGATTGGTTTTCACGGACTGGGAAAGACCCCGGCGATGACTTCCTCCAGCCTCCCAGGTGATCCTGGATGAAGCAGCCTGTAGGTATCCAGAGATCCCGATGGAGGATGGGGTCTGATGGTAGCAGGAGCGGAACTAAGTGTGTGTGTATGGGGAGGAGGGAAGGAGGGAAGGGGGCAGGGAGAAGCATGAACTGCTCCTGAGTGGGAGAAGAAAGGTTTCAGTTCCAGCCGCCCAGGCCTGGTTCCTGCCCATGCTCACTGCTGAGGCGCTGTGGGGACGAGGGGAGCGGAAGGACACGGCCCGGGGTCACACTGTCTGCTCCCTTTGGAAGCACTGTGTTACAGTGGTGTGATTGCCCCAGATGGCAATAGCTGGTGCCGCTTCTGCTATTTCCTGGGCAGCCTGGGCGTGCGTGCGTGCGTGCGTGTGTGTGTGTGTGTGTGTGTGTGTGTTTCCCTTCCATTGTGGTAGACACCCATAAGCCTCAAACTCTAACTGGTGAACACCATAGAGTCAGTGTGGGTAGCTCAGCGTGTAGTTTTCAATCTTCGCTTACTCCGTCAATTGTAATGGGTCCCCCATCTCCAGCAGATTCATTACCCATGTCAGGGCTGGGAACCAGAGTCTTCACACCACAGACCATGGGGACCTGATTCTGAACACCTTCATCTGTCATCCCTGCAGGGAGCGTCTTGCTTACGACTCCTCCCCTCCTGGGTAAGTCCAGAGAATCTCTGCCTGGGCATCCCAACCACGGGGTCATCAGAGCCCCTCTTTCCCCAGAGTGCAGTGGGGAGAGGTGTTTGTACTGCCATTTCCATCTTGACCTTACTGGTCCTTGGCATGGCTTCTTGGTGGGTGTGTGTCACCCGATGCCCTGTCTCGGATGGCAGGGAGAGCCCAGGGGATTAAAATTAAGGCTGATGGGGTCACTGTTCTTTGTGTCTGAGGACTGGGTACGGCATTTCAGGGAAATGGGTGACACTGAGACTGTGAGAGACAATCCGGGTTCAGAGATAAATGTATTGTGTTTTCTATCACATGAGAAATCTAGTCAGAGTTAAATTCTTACGTCTCTGTGTACACATATTGTACACATGCATATGTACAAAAGCAGAGCGGGGACTATTAGAGGCTTGGAGCGTGGGGATAAAAGAGGGTAATGGGGCACGTGCAACCTGGAAGAAAGGGAGTCCCCATGGGCAGAAATGTTGGGGTACACCAGAGGACACGGAGTCAGTTACTGCCCCACAGTGAGGGAAGTTTGTTGGGCCCCAACCCCACGGGGTCTCTGTGAGTTGCTGGTCAGCCTACAAGTGCAACTTGTTTTCCAGTCCAAGTGCTTCCTGTTTTCTAGTCCTGGCTTACTGCCCTGGCCTTGACCCTCTGACATCAACATTAAACAGGAGGAAAACATGCTCTCTTCTACCTGGGGTTTTTCCACTGTGCTGTAAACCTGTATAAAAAGCTCCTCCCACAAGAGAGAGAGAGAAAGAGACCTCTTAGCACTTGCAATGAAGACACACACACACACACATTCTCCTGACAATAAAGGCAGCACATGCATTCTCTTAGTACAAACAGCTGGACGTCTGGCTTTTCTTTTCCTGATATCCTGGACTTGCTTGTGGCACGGGCACCGCAATTGGAGGTCCCACCAACATCCAGAGAGACTTGGAAAGATTGGCCAGAAAGAAGACTCAGGAGAAGAGAGACTCAAGAAAGAAAAGAATTAAAAACAGGTACCTCAACTTCTAACAGTAAAATTGAATGGTCAAATCTCCAGGCTTTGCTTGAGAGATCACCTTCTAAGGAGAAGGTGGATTAGATTAAATTTCCAGGCCTTTGCCTGACACCAAGGTCAGGAAAGAAAGGGGAACCCGAGAGATCATCCTCAGTTGGAGGATGGATTAAAAGTGGGTAAATTAAAAATTGATAACAGTTAATAAACGAGGTACTGGTATTAAGTAAAAGTATATGGAATGAAAAATACACAGAGAATCTGGATACTGTGTACAGTTTGTGTTGTCTTTAAATTGTTTAATTGCTAAGAAAGGAACAAAAACTGCTAAAAGACATTTGATTATTAATGTTGCTAAATTAATCCAACTTACATATTTTGAAAATGCTTTGACTTCTAAATTTAAGGATAGGTTACTTGGGAAAAGAATTTCTGCTTTTGTTTCCACAGAACATAAAAAGCTGTGGGTTCCTTCCAGACTAGTATGGTTTGATGAAGCAAGACCACGTGATCCAACATCTAAAACAGCTGAGATGATGCAGCCTTACATACCACAAAAACAAGAACTTCAACAGGTTTTGGGGGTTTTTTTTGGTCATGATCCCCATGGTATATCAGCGCCCCTTAACAGCAGGAAGTAGTTTGGAACGAATAACGTCCACATTCACAAATATTGTTTATAAATGTTTGTTTACATTTATACAGTGTTGGTTATTGATACTAAGATTGACATTAACATCTTAGTCATCTGAGATAGGTGCTAATTTATATAAAGAAGGGGGGAAATGTTGGGTCCCAACCCCATGGGGTCTCTGTGAGTTGCTGGTCAGCCTACAAGTGCAACTTGTTTTCCAGTCCTGGCTTACTGCCCTGGCCTTGACCCTCTGACATCAACATTCAACAGGAAGAAAACATGCTCTCTTCTACCTGGGGTTTTTCCACTGTGCTGTAAACCTGTATAAAAAGCTCCTCCCTCCTACAAGAGAGAGAGAGACCTCTTAGCACTTGCAATGAAGACACACACATACACAGTCCTGACAATAAAGGCAGCACATGCATTCTCTTAGTACAAGCAGCTGGACGTCTGGCCTTTCTTTTCTTGATACCCTGGACTTGCTTGTGGCGCGGGCGCCGCAGAAGTTGAGGATGTCCCTCCCAGGACCAGGCAGAATGCCTACAGCAGACAGGTTTGTGACCCCATCCATATCTCCGGAAAGGCTCCTGCAGGCACTGGGCTGGGTCAGTCATGTCCAAGGCTGCCTGCTTTTGAGGAAACAATGGCAGCTCTCTCTCTCAGCAGATCCTGCTGGAGCTGCCCGGGGCCACGGGACTCTCATTCCCCACTCTGTGTCTGCATTAGTCCCTTTGTTTACTCATTGCTTTCATAATTCCCGCTTGTGACTCCTGTGCCCGTGCTAGGCACTGGGAGACAATGGAAAGCAATGCCCAGCCTGCATTCTCTAACCCACAGGCAGTCGCAGTCAACAAGGAGGGGTCGGGGAGGAAAGAGGGTCTGCACCTGTCCTCTGAATCCCACTCTCTCTTCTTACCCCCTTTGGGTATTTCTGGCTAGTCTACCTGTCTGCCAATCAACCATAATCAGAAATGGATATATATATATATATGTATATATATATATATAATTTTCCAATCTTTAAAATTAAGAAATGTTGAGGTCCCTTGTCCCCCATTCCCTAGGCAGGGAGTCTAGGCTCGCACACCTCCAATTCTACCTCTCTCTGCTGCACCCACTTGGCCTCTTCTCTAGGTAGGCACTAGATTTACACTGCAACTCTACCCTTACCCATGACCCTAAGGCTGACCCTCTCCAAGGAGGGTCACCATAGCCACAGCTGTCATCCCTGCAATATGCATGGGGATGACATGCCCTGTGCCTACCTCTCCTTACCCCATCCTCACAGAGGCACTCAAAACTAGCATGTCCATCTCCAGTAATGCCTGTTGCCTGGAACTTGGCTATGAACATATTCTAACTTTCTCCTCTGGGCTTAGATATCTCACTGAGCTCGAGCTGAGGCAAGTTGACTTCTGATGCCCCCGCTTGAATGTAAACACTGAATTGCCAAAGACTGAGAGCCCTTAACCCCATACAGTGGTAAGTCACCCGAGAAATTGGCGTAACAGGACACAGAGCTTCAGCCAAGCCCTCAACACAGGTGGCATGATTTCTACAACAAACTCTACCAATGACCTTATTCTAGATGCGAAGATCCCATCATAAATAATGAAAAGTTTGATCTGCCAATGTCCCCTGGGAAAAGTGACTTGGATGATACACAAGATAAGGATTCAAACGGAAAAAATGATCCAAGAATTCAAAGGCAATGAACAAATGCCAAATTGAAGACTGCAGAAATATACTTGGATGAAATAAAAGCAACTCATGAAAACAGAACTTAGTAAAGAGGTACCATCTCTGAATTCATGAATTTTTCATTTCAAGCTTTATTTCATTTGACTTTTCTTCAAACAAAAAAAACTCAGAGGAAAGTTTCCTCAATAGATTGGAGCAGGTGGAAGAGAGTTTCAACTCTTGCAAAGCGAGGAACTGGATCACTCAACTAAAGAAAATGTCAGAACCCCTCCAAATCCCAAAAACAGAACATGTGGAAATTTGCTCTATAAAAAAAAAGACCAAACCTATAGAATAATAAGTATAGAAGGAAAAGAAAAATACCTAACTTAAGAAACAAAATGCCTATCAAGGACACAAAATAGACAGAACCAGAAAAGAAATTCCCCACATCATGTAATAGTCAAAAAGTCAAATGTACAAAACAAAGGATATTGAAAATGACAAGAAAAAATCAAGTCTCATACCAAGGTAGGCCAATTAGAATAATAGTAAATTTTCCAGTGGAGACGATGAAATCCAGAAGGGACTAGACCCATGCTCTATGAGCTATGAAAGACAGTGGGTGCCAACGCAGACTACTGTTCCCAGCAAAACTATCAGATTTAATTTATGACCACTAATCCAACTATATACAAAATACTGGAAATAATACCCCATCTGAAGAAAAGGATAAATGTGTAGGTCAGCACCACAGGTGCCTAGTAAGATCTCTCCCTACAGGAAGTCACAAAACCAATTCGAGAACTGAATCAAAAGAGGACACCATAAAAACAAATTAACACGCATTGTTCAATAATAGCTCAATAGTAACTGATAATAAATAGAAACAGACTAGATCAGAAAATAGGATCCCTCATTTATGGATTTTAGACATGAATCAGGGGAGTCCCAGCATACAATCCCACTGCCAGAGAGCCTAGGAAACAGAACCTTCATCCAGCGACTGATGAAAGCAGAGGCAGATACCCACAGACAAACACTGAACTGAACACCCGGAATCCAGTGTCAGAAAGAGAGAACTGATGGGCAAAGGAGTTAAGACTGGGCTGGTTTAACCCATAGGAACAGTTGACCTGAACAAGGGGGGAGCTCTTGGACTCTATATTGATGGCTGTGTGGAAATCCTGGGACTGACCCAAACCCCTTGAATGTGGGTGTCAGTGAAGGGGCCTTGGGTAGTATTTATCCCTGGCGTGCAAATAGACTTTGAGTGTCCATGCCACAATATGGGAGGCTCTCTCAGCTGGGACTCTTGGGGGAGGGCCTAGGCCCTGCCCTGGATAAAATGACAGTTACTGGAGATCCACCATGGGGGGGCCTCACCCTCCTTGGGGATCAGAGTAGAGATTGGGTGGGGAAGCTGGGATTGACATGTGAAACAAGATTGTTCCTAACCTAAATAAAAAAGCAAAACAGAAAACAGGATCCATCTTGTTGCTGCTGCCAAGAAACAGGATTCTAGGCCAGTGATGGAGTCTAGACCACCTCAAAGTTAAAGGGTGGGAAAAGGATCCAAGCAAGGGTAACAAGAGTCAAGCAGCATAGAGGTTCTAATATTTGACAAAACAGACTTCAAGTCAATACTTAGCCAAAGAGATACATAGGAATACTTATCTTCATTTAGGAAAAAACCCAATAGGATATTACAATCCTAAACACATATGAACTAAGATTGGAGCACCAAATTTCACAAAAGAAAAACTATTAAACTTAAAACCACAGATCAACCCCAATACAGTGATGGTGGTGATTTCAACACTATTCTCACAGACATACGGGTTATTTGGCAAAGGAAGGAAACTCGAGTTCAATGACATAAATCAATAGACCTAATAGACATCTAGAGAATATAATCTTTGTAGCCTATGGGATTTTTCTACAAAATGACCACATATTAAGAAACAATGCAAGTCTCAATAAATACAGGGAAATTGAAATCACAATCTGAATGTTATCTAATAACTGAAATAAAGCTGGATATCAACAATAATAGAAATGACAGAAAGTATACAAAGTTATAGATGCTAAACAACACAGTTCTGAGTCAAAATTGGGTAAAGAAAGAAATCAAGAAGGAAATTTAAGCTGAATAAAAATGAAAACACCTCATAGCAAAACCTACAGGACACAATGAAAGCCACCATATGAGAAACACTTTGCGATGTCTCTAATTAGAAGATGCATCTGACAGTTCATTTTCCTATTCTTGGAAAAAATACGAATATACAACAAAAGAAATAGACTGGAAGAGATACTCAAAATCACAGCTGAGATTAATGGCATAGAGTGACAATAAATACAAAGGATCAATGAAACAAAGTTATTTGAAGAGGTTGATGAGGTTGATAAACCCTTAGTCAAAGTAACCAAAAGAATTAGAGAGCATCCAAATTAATTAGAGAAGAAAAGAGAGGTACTACAACAAACACTGAAGAAATCCAGAGACTTGTTCAAATATACTTTAAAAAAAATCTACATTCCACTAAACTGGAAAATGTTAGAGAAATGGATGAATTTCTAGATATATATGACTGACCTAAATGAAGATGAAGTAAATGATGTAAATAGACCCACATCCCCCCATTGAGATAGAAGCAGTAATAAAAAGTCTCTCCAACTACAAAGCACAGGTCAGAGGGAGTCATTGTTGAATTCTATGAGAACTTCAAAGAAGAGCTAACACCAACACTCCTCAAACTGTCCTACAAAACTACTAAATAGACAAGGACAAACACCCTGAATTCCTTTCATGAGCCACACCATTCTGACACTGAAACAAAAGACCCCCCCAAAAAATATTAAGCCCAGAATCTTTAATGAACATAGACATGAATCAAAGCTAATTCAAGAACACATCAGAAAGATTGTCCGCCATCCCAGAGATGCAGGAATGGTTCAATAAACTTAATCCACCACACGAAGAGAAACCACAGAAGTGCCTCTGCATCTGTAGAAAAGGCCTTTGACAAAATCTAACATCCATTCGCAATAAAAATCCTGGCAAAACTAGGTATACAGGGGACAATCTCAACATAATAAAGGCAAGATACAGGAAGCCCACAGTCAACATCATCCTGAACAGAGGAAAATACTATTTCCACCAAAACCAGGGGCACAGACAGTGATGGTCCCCCTGCCCACTCCTGTTCAACATAGTGCTTGAAGTCTTAGCTAGATCAGGAAGATAAAGTGGACACAAATGAGAAAGGAAATCAAAGTATATTTGTAGATAAGATTCTGTAAAAGATCCAGAAAACGCCACCAGATGACTACTACACCTGATAATTCAGCAAACTAACAAAAATCAGTAGGCTTCATATATACAAACAACAGACATACTGAGAAGAAATAAAGGAGATAATGCCATCCACAATAGCCTCAAAAATAGACTAAGTCTAATCAAAGAAGTGAAAGATTTGTACAACAAAAATAAGAGGCTGAGAAATAAAATTGAACAAGACACCAGAAAGTAGAAAGATCTCCCATGCTTATATAATGGTAGGCTTGTGAAAATGACCACCCTACCAAAAGCCATCCACAGGTTTAATGCAATAATCTCTATCAAGGTTAAAAAAAAAGCAGCATGAATGGAATAGAAATGAAGACTCACATATAAACCCATACTCCTACATTCACCCAGGGTTTGACAAAAGCCAACAAAATACACATTTGAGAGAAAATAGCATCTTCAACAAATGTTGCTTCTCAGACAGGATGGCTACAGTAGACAAGTGAAATTTAACCCATATCTTTCAACCCTTTAAAAAAACTCTACTCCAAAGGGATTAAGGACTTCAACACAAGACTAGAACTCTACGTCTGGCAGGGGAGCAAGCAAGGAATAGGCTTGAGCTCACTGGTATAAAAAAAAGACTTTCTGAAGAGCATCCCGATAGTAAAAGACTGTAATACCAATAATTAATAAATGGGACCCCGCAAAACTAAAAAGCTTCTATATAGCAAATTAAGAGGCAGTCTGTAGATGCGGAAAAAAGGAAGTCTTTCCCCGCTATACAACTGACAAATTGTTAATATCTAGTATATGTAAATAGCTCGAAAAGTTAACATTAAGAAAACCTAATTTCTAAAGGGGGGAGGGACACAAAACTAAACATTCCGAAAAATGCAAATGGCTGAGAAACATTTTAAAAATATTCAACATCTACAAAGGATTCGCAAATTAAAAATTACTTTGAGATTTCATTTTAGCCCAGTCAGAAGGGCCAAGGTCAGAAGACAAATGCTGACAAATGGTGGCGTGGATACTGGGCATGGAGAACACTTACACTCTGCTGGAGGACTGCAAACTGGTGCATCCAACATGGAGTTAAGTGCGGGGTGTCTCCAAAAAGCTGATAATAGGTCTATACCGTATTATCCTGATAAGACCAGTCTAGGGCATACATGCAAAGGATTGCATGTCTTACTTGATATATCTAAGAAAACTCTCAAAGAACTAGCACAAAATTTTATAAGAGAATTAAACTAAAAAAATAAGTTTTAAAAAAATCAATGCAGCTTGCTGTTCTCACGAAAAACGACCTTACACACAAATACTGTATATGCTGTTTCTTTTATCTATTGAAAGCAGTTTGTGACAAAACAGCCAGATTATCTCCCTCTCTCTGCTTTACTCTTTTTGCAAGGAAGTTTCCTTTTCCCTCTGTGGGAGGGAGGGAAAGGCATGTTGTTACCTGACCCTAAGCCAGAACCGCAGGCCTGTTGGTAGGTAGCCTGGGCGACTCCCTCACCCTGCTAACCAGCGCTGTGCCTGCCCGCTAACACAGCGGTCTTGATCTCACTTTACATGGCACATCTTGTGGTCATGCACATGGCTATTAGATCCCCAGGCTGATACTGGTTAGTCAATATGAAATCATTTCCTCATTTCACCAGACTTAAGACATGTGACCACAGGGTAGCCTAAAGTCAGGGAAGTGCATTAGCTGCCAGACTCACAGGCTGCGGGTTGATCCTCCTAATAACTTAGTGGCATTCAGGTCTTTAAAAACAATACAACAAAACAAAAACAAAAC